TCAGTTTAGTCGGCACAAGATGGCGGTGTACCTTCTTTTAATAAATTACAAGAAAATACAACAGGGTCTGCATTTTTTTTTTACTTGGATTTCATTAACTAGCTGCGTAACAAGAACATGACCAATTTAAGTTTACAGGACAACTAAACTATCAATTTAAGCAAAAATTTACCGTCAACTACAGACGTTGCATCCATCGATTCCGCCATGTTTCTCATAGACACGCCCCCAACTCGGAAACTCGGGGCTTAAAGAAAATGTTGAGTTTCCCACTCATAATAACGACTTTGTGGTGGCGTCCATGTGCGTTCAACTCGTAAATACGATCTATCCGACATGACTTGAACGCACCATTAGACACTTACGGCCTTAGATTTCTCCTCATCACTGCTGCTGAGCCTCATACTGGACTTTAGAGGCTTCATCCTTTTCTTTTTATTGGATTTCTTGTTTGGTTGGATGCCATTCTCCTTCTGTTTGATTTTCTTCGCTGGCGCAGCATTTGCCTGAAAGGCAGAAATCATGCAATTACAGCCCTTACAAAAAATGGTGGTTAATACCATGGTATTTTTTCTGCAGGGGTCTTTTATTTAGACCCCCAAATGTCATCACCCTGGTGCGAGGGCCCACAAGCTTAAAGGCAGCAATATATTTTCATAACGACCACATTTATACAGTGAAAAACGAATATACACGTAAAATATTATTTGGAAAATAATTACTGTATTTTTTCTACTCAATACAGTTGTACTGTTAGGTTTATTACAATCAATTATTTATTTTTGTACATTTTTTACACTGTTTGTCTAACCTTTTTCACACACACCAGTTTGAAAACCCCTGCTAATATTGAGTAAGAATTTTTGAGTGACAGAGTATACCAGGTTTTTTTTTTAATGATTATTATATTTTTATACAGTTTTATTTAAATGGTAGCTAAAGAATGCTGTTTTGTTAGCGAGAGAACAGAGAAGTTTTGTCCAACGTATATACAGTATATTTAGTGTGTATTCATTATATTAGAATCCAGTAATTAACAACTTTGAAATGATGGTTATGTTCCCTCGTAAAACGTTTTTTTTTTCATGCAGTTCCTCATAAGCAACAGTTTTACCTGCACTTGTGGTTTTGTTCCTCCTGATAATGACTGATAAATAGATAATGCGGACATGTGTTTTCTTTCCATGGCTCAGATGTGAGGAGCAGCAGACAGAGATCAGACACATGAGCGCTTTTCCTCTGCTGGAGTCAATACTGACAACCAGCGCTCACACTGCCACCTACAGGTCTGGAGATGCAAATACATGTTTCAAACAAATTATTTTCACTAGATCCGCACGGTTATAATATATCAAACACGCAAATACACGATTATCAGTAAATGAATCATTATAAATTCATTTTATGCTGATATGTTACCAACAACATTTGTAAACAACGTACTCTCGCGCTCTCCGCTCTGAGCGCTAGATGGCAGCACGCGCTCAACGCCGCTCGCTGTCTGTCTGCTGGAGCGCTTCGCGGTTTGCTGCACCTCAGAGACGCAAGAGTGGAGCGTTTTCGGCAGCCGTTTACCGGGCCGTTTCTGTCCGTTACCGACGCCATGGACACGCCGAGGATCTGAAGTGCTTGAGGACCGACGTCCTTTCTGATGGATTTATTCTGAGGTAACTTACTGTAAAATAACGGTTGTGTCGTTCGAAAGCGGGTCGGTTAGCAGCGGCTAACATCAAACAGACAGATGCAGAAAAACATAAATAACACTCATATTGGTAGTATTTTACTTGTGATATTGCTCTAAGATGAACACTATCGCTCTTTAGCCGCAATATGTTTGATTTTTAGATCTCTATGTGTCTAAAGTAACACTGCAGGGAATCCGTGTAACGTTAAGTTGGTCATTTAAACGACGCGTTGAACAAATCAGACAGACTCACCTAAACAAACGATATCAGACACACACTCATCTCATATATTAAGAACATGTAATCACCAATATCAGACACATTCTGATCTTGACATTAATTTCTAACATCTGCTCTGATCAATAATATTGGTCACACTCCAATCTGGTTAATAGTGTATAACATCTGATCAATAATATCAGAATCACACTGATCTGATTTATAAATATATATAATATGCTATGTGATATCTATCAATATCAGACACTGTTGTTATTTCTAACATCTGCTCCGATCAATAATATTGGTCACACTCTAATCTGCTCATAACGTTTGATATTATTAGACAGACCCTGATGTGATTTATTATTCATATGTAACATTTCATTTGATTAGCAATAGCAGGCACTCTTTAATCTAGTAATTAATTTATAACGCCTAGTCGATCAGCAATATCAGATACAGTCAAATTTTGAAATAATAATATCAGACGGTGAACTGATATATTGTAATATAGACGCACGAGGATGTAATGACTCGCATAACCTGATGTGAGTTTTTTTCTTATAATTTAGAATATCTGATATTGATTTTGTTGATGTTGAATATTGCATGCATGCTGCTGCTATGATCTGATCTCACTTGACAGACTCAAAATATCAGACTTGTTCTTAATCAAAGTTTGACTCAGAGATCAAACCCTCACAATAAGCTTTGTATGTTATGAAGCTCAGATTCTGAATTTCGACATAAGATATTTTCAGTCTGACAAGTAAGATCACTTCATTTCTGATATTGTTGATTAGAACATATTGTGAGTGTCCGCCTCTTATATTCTCTTCACATATTCTGAACATAAGACATTATAAATATCTGTGAATGATCGTTTTATCAGATCACCATGGTAACATTGATTAGATCCAATCAGTAGATCTACATCTGGTATTCAGAGTCTGTCCAGCCGGTCATCTGTGTGATGAATTTGGAGGAACAGATGTGTTAGTCTCTGATGAGTTGTGTTGAGGTGGTCAGTGATTGTTTAGCGTGCAGACCAGTTCTGTGTTTGTGTAAATGAGTTGTTTTCCTCCTAACCCATCTGTGAAGGTTATAACCCATTGCACGCTTTATTTGTGAAGGAAAATAAAGATATGTTGTCTCTCTGCCCTGATAATGGGTGACCATCTGTGCGATGCACTGCCAGTTCAGGCGTGACTAAAACAAATACTAAATCACCAAACCATTTTTAGTCTTACAGCTCTCATTATAGGCGTCATCTGCTTTAAATGTGTGGAGTCTTTCATTTTGCATTTATTTGTAATTTTGTATACTAAAGAAGGATTTCTGCCAATCTTAAAATCTTAATTTGCCCTTCCAGAAATGAAGGCCTTAAAAAGGTCAGAGTAGCACGTCTTAAAGTCATGGCATTGTGGAATATCTTTCTCAGTATTTTTGTCTTGTTTTCCAATACAAATATCTAAATTTCCTTAAATCAAGATACAATTACTTGAGTTGCAAAATGAAGATATTAAGTCACAAAATTAAGTGAGTTTATGCTTAAAACAAGAACAATAGTTGTCAGTGAGGTATGAAAATGTGTTTTCAACTTGAATTAAGTTGATTTTTCAGAGCCCATTAGCAGAAAAAAAACAACTTAATTTTGCTTTTCAAGGAAATGCATCTGGATATAAGAATCTTTAGACATTTGCAGTGGAAAAATAATTTTTTTTTGCAGTGTTTTCAAAAGGTACAGTAAAAGTTATTTCCATAATCTAGTGTTTGGGTGCAGATTTTTTGGAAATGAATTAAAAAGTATTAAAAAAGTATAAGTGTTGCTAATACAACTTGTGTGCAAAGTGTGTGCTTCTAGACATTTACATTTAGAGAACATATAGACGTATTGTTTCCCCCTTCAATTTATTCCCTATATCTTCTTTACTTTGTCTTAAAATGGTCTTAAAGGAATTGTTCACCCAAAAATGAAAATTTACTGAAAATTTCTTCACCCTCAGGCCATCCAAGAAGTAGATGAGTTTGTTTCTTGCTCTGTTTCAATGCTCTGCAGTGAATGGGTGCCGTCAGAATGAGAGTCCAAACAGCTGATAAAAACATCACAATAATCGACAAGTAATCCACACGAAATACAAGTCCTCTGTCCAACACAGGGCTCGAAATTGCGACCGTTTTGGTCCCGAAATGTAATCTGTGCGACCCCAAAATATATTTGTGAACATTTGTGTGAGTGCACATAATTGTTGTGGTGCGACTGCGACCTGTCTTCATTTCTCTGCAAAACATTCGCGAATTACTACACAATATGTGTCTGCTGTGAGCCGATACAGTGACCGCTCCACCAGTTTATCCAACGTTACATAGGCTAATCAATTAAGCTTCATCATTACATTCTTAACTTTAATGCATATTTTAGATTGGTTATATTAGCCGTCAATCACTCCCTTTCGCTGCACTCCGTTGTCACGTGACAGGGAGCTAACTCGGAACCGACCGGTTTTTGTTTTATTTCAGCCGATCTCTGTTCTGGACTTGCACAAACTGTATTGAAATCATTTTCCAAAATGTCATTTGTGTGGAAATATTACGAAGTCTGTAAACGGCTGTTAACAGAGGCCAGAGACGCTGAAGACGGACGCAAAGAAAATAAAATACTGTAGCAGGCAGAACAAGCGCACTGATCACTGTGTGCGAAATATAGAAAGAAAATCCTAAATACTGAATTGGTAGTGGGGGGTTAAATGAATGTATTTCTAAGGGTAACTGATTGTCTTGAGAAGTTGAAATGACATTTTCTTCTCATCTTGCCTCTGTATATTGCAAATCGCGATTCAATTAGGGGTAGGGCTGCACGATAAATCGCATGCGATATTTAACGCGCATCTTATCAGTAAAGCCGGTTCTGTAATCAGCGGTAAATCTCCATCACCTGCGGGCTTTCACATTGAGCAGCATTAACTATCCGCTGTTTCATGCAGATATTTTTATGTATAGTTTCATAAAACCGAAGTCAAACCATTCTGTTTTTGCTTCACATTTCAAAATTATACAACCTAATTTAGATTAAAAACTGCTCATGTTGCATGTATGCAGCATCTTGAAAGCCCGCAGGTGATGGAGATTTACCGCTGATTACAGAACTGGCTTTACTGATAAGATGCGCATTAAATATCGCATGCGATTTATCGTGCAGCCCTAGTTATATTTAAATTTCACAAAGAAACGTGCAACATTTTGTCCAAGCAATAATAAAAGGACACATTTAATTTATAATTTGTCTTAAATCTAATTTTGTAAAAAAAAAAATCTTGAATCAAATTGAATCATGAAATCAAAATCGTGAATCGAATCGAATCGTGAGTTGAGTGAATCGTTACATCCCAATCGAATCGTGAGTTGAGTGAATCGTTACATCCCTAATCACTAACAAGAAATGGCGGGCCAAGTGTGTGGCAAAGAATTCAGGATCAGGTTCAATTGTTGAAGCTTTTAATCATCTGGATATCATCAAAGGATGTTGCAAGAATTCAGGATCTGGTTCAATTGTTTAAGCTTTTAATCATCAGGATGTTGCCAGCCCTTCCGCTCAATTGGCAGTTGAAATACACTAGGCTAATTCTTAATCAGGCTGGATATTATGAAAACTGGTTTGCAACTATTCCAGTTACCTAACATAACCTTGGAAAGAAGTGAGATACAAACCAGGTGATGCTCCTTAATATTCAGTGGGTGCTCCTACATTTTTGTTGGTGCTCCTAACTTCCTGAAGTTGGGAGCACCAGTTCTACCAAGTAAAAAAGTTAATTTCGACCCCTGCATAATATTACTTTCTCCAGTGGAAAAGTTGTCTTATCTGAATCAGGAGTGAAATATGCACAAATCAAGCTCTGTTTACAAGCTAAAACAGTTCTAAACAAAAATTTTGGAGGATTTTGATATGAGAGGACAACAGGGGATGGACTTTTTTCCTGAAGGAAGTGTTATTATGCATTATTGGCTCTTGTTTTGTCCAGAAGTATTGGCTTATAGTTAAACGCCTTGTTGATGGATTTGTTTCTTTAAAAAATCATTTTGGGGTGAACTATTTCTTTAAAAATGTCTTCATTTTACCTCCATAAAACCTGCAGAAACTCTTTTGCATGCCAAAATGTAGCTCGGAATGGGGATTTTGGACGTGTTCCCCTTACGGTCTATGTAGGATTCTAAACTTGGAAATAGAAATAGACATATTGAAATAGACATGGCTTTTCTGTTGTCCTGGGTCATTATTGTTACTGTAGTTGGCTTTGTGATTTTGAGCATAATGCAGTAATTCCCCGCAGGCAAAGGAACAATCACGCTGGCTCTTCTCCTGCTATCCGTCACTGTCCAGCGGTGTGGGTATGCAGAGGTCTGGCAGCTGTTACTAGGGTTTTAAGATTTTAGGGCCTGCTGCTCTCGATGGATGGGATTTGACTTATTTGGATCAGGTGCTGAATATGGCAAATGCCATGTGGGAATTTTTTGGTTTGTTTTACTATGAAGTCGGATTGTTAAAGGGATAGTTCACCCAAAAATGAAAATGTGATGTTTATCTGCTTACCCCCAGGGCATCCAAGATGTAGGTGACTTTGTTTCTTCAGTAGAACACAAACAAAGATTTTTACTAAAATTGTGTAGTCTGAACCGGGCATAATTGTGAACAAAGCAGCCACTTGTCTGTCCATTTTCTTCCTCCAGTTTAATTTGAATGAGTTAAGTCTTATGTAGTTTAC